GTCGTTTTATGCCTTACCAACTCCTGACACTTCCTATAAGGAATACTCACTTAGATTATATGCCAGGATTTCATGAAAGCAGGTGCGCGTACGATTTTTTTTCGGATGGACGAAGATGGAAAGAAACCGTAAGTCTTGGATAGGATATATCTTCGACCACAGAAAGTCGGTAGTGGTGTGACTAGGATAGTCTCGTTAAAGAATGATAAATGTCTTCTTTCAAACTGATCTCATAATCATTTTTTAACTGAATTGGATAACTTCGACAATGATGCATCCTTGTGCTTTATATATATTGGTGATTTCCAAACACGTACAACGTTGGAAGGTTGCTAAAGGATCACTGCATCCCGCGGCAAACTGGTTCTCCTAGCTTCTTCGTCCACATGATCAACGCTTCGCCATCCTCTACCAAGCCGGCAACTATTCAGCGGTTGAGCGTGTATGTCATATAACCAGTTACAATGTGGCCGGGGCAAAGAGGCTGCCAGAATATATTTATGCACTCCGGGGCCAGATATGACAGCAGACAGCAAACGATAACATATCAAATGTAAGCAGAAAACTTCCGATAAAATATGTAAGTGATTTCTATACACGTGTCCGTTTTTTAACCATTTTCTTTTTCCTTGTGCTGAGAGGAGACCAATACATCACTGTTCTTTTGTTTTTCGGTGAACCAGCAACTAACTCAAGCTTAACAAATAAAAAGTCAAATATTTGACCGTAATCTGTGTTACATTTTAAACTTTGTGGACTAGAAACACAACATGCCTAATGAATACCAAAGTTGACCGCTGGATAAAATTGCAGGCGCGATAATGACTACTTATCTAGCAAATTATATCAAGCCAATAGATGCAACTGAGGCACCACAGAGACATGTATGTATTATCAAGTTTCTACCTAGATTTCTACTAACTATGGTCAAAAAGTTCGACTAAATGCGCCCTTGATGTTCATTGTAGTGTATTGATTATACATGCACTTATTTTGATTATTGACAGCGAGCTTAGTATGGGTTCTAAGGTGAGCACTTTGTACTTAATTCAGTAAATGTACTACTCGCAGTAATCATACTGTACTGGAAATACTTGCAGCTGTAATATTATTATAAGTCAGTTAACTCTTCTACTTCTATATGTGTAACGTGTTTGTTAATAAAGTTCAGTTAACCTTTGGTAATGAAGGAGAGACAGTCTCTCTTGTGTCTGAATGACGACAATACATTCAACATCAAATTCTACGTTTACTCGAGAATAAACCTAATATGCCTGCGAAAAAATTTCTCAAAAAGAGCTCAACTTTCGCTATTCAAAGGTTCTCTCCTCAAAGGTTCTCTCCTTGTTTGTGTTAAAACGATACTCTCTGAGAAATTTCTTGTAATTTCAAGCTATTTTAGGTTAATAAAACAAATATGTAGTTTACGGAATTTTGATGTTATAGATTAAAAAGCGAGAGTTAGATGTAAATTTAAAGTCAGCACGGGTGATTAAATCAGTTTCTCCGAAATTTTACAACCGATTTTGGAAGTCCAGTGATGGCTTTCACTACCCATGTAGAAATAATGATCAGAAATGGTTGGTCATCGGAGATATTGGGCCTTAAAATACCCTTATTTTTGGACTTTGTCAAAACCAGAAAAAGTTGTCTTCACTTAAGCGAGATGTAAGGGAACGAATGAAATGAAAAAGTTAAAACAGTTCGATTTTCTTAAAGCCTAGCAGTTGATTGAATTGGCAGATGGCTTTTCAATCTATCACTGTAGCAATGCAAAGTTAGGAAAAGTGGGTTTTCCAAGGGGGACACTATATCTCCCAGGAAATTAAATTTTTTGACCTATGATTTTCACACATTTGTTAATTCATACTACTCAGTATTTTTACCAAGTTTGAGCCAAATCGGTGATTTGAACTTTATCACCCTCTGCCCTGTTTTCTCGTGGACACGCTCTTAAGACTTGAAGTCGTAGCCTATTCATACATGCATTCATAACATCGCTACTCATAACATACTGAAATGGGAAAAAGGTATTCGATGAACTTGCGCTAGACTAGGTTAATTTATAGGCATACAGCCGTGAACTATACATTTCTATGGTATTGCAGTGTATGGTTGCCGAAGTGTGTAAATATTCGATGTCGTGTGTGTACGTTTGATGACTTAAAATATGTGTGATTTTGTTCAATAATTCGTTAAACTTGTAGCAAAATTCAATAAATTCACCTTGATATTCATTCTATAATTCATGCAATATTCTTTCGATAGTACACGCTATATTCCTTCGATAATTCAAGCTACAGTCATTCAATATTATCACGTGCCCTGTAGCTACATGACGGCTTGCCCAAGTCTACAGCAAAGTCTTTCAGTAAGTTGTTGCCACCAGTATCGGTGAATCTCGCAAAAGCATTCGCGAAGCTCAAGAAACAAAGGCTGTCGTTCATTGTTAACAGTATCGGCCATGAAAATAATAACTGAAAGAGCCACTTCAACACCATTGGATACATTGGCTGCGATAGAATATGTTAGTTCTTCAGAATCTATCTCACATCTATCTAGTAAATTGAGCAGGCTAAGCGCCAAAGACTCCCATTCAATTTGTTCCGCCATTTTAGACAACCAGTAGCCTAGCCTTCTATCCCAAATACGGACGATAGGTCAAGTGCATTATTGAATGAATATTGCTTGAATTATCGAATGAATATTGCATGTATTATCAAATGAATATTGCATGAATTATCGAATGAATATCAAGGTGAATTTGTCGAATTTTCCTACAAGTTTATCGAATGTATTGAACAAAATCACATATATTTTAAATCATCAAACGTATACACACGACATCAAATATTGACACACTTCGGCAACCATAGCAGTGAAGTGTATCATTTCTTTATGCTGTCCTTTGTCATCATCTTTCATCAAAACATATTTTCTAAACGCAGTATTTCAAGATTCTTTCTCTTAAAAAATATTTCTGCCGGCTGCCAGACAATATCTGTTAAGTTCTTTTTTTGTCTTCTTTTACTCTAAAAACATCAAACATTACCTGGACAATACAGAAAATATAAAATGGAGAATCTCAAGATATCTGTTTCGTTCTTAAATTATATAAGCATTGCTGGGACACAATATATACTTTCTTTTGACTCTCAAGGCGCATGATAGAGACAATTAAGCATTTAAGGCCACAGTAATAGATTTAAACAGGGATAGATCGATTCATTTAAACTTCAGCATTTTGTCGGCGATTTTGAAATTTTGTAACCCATCAATGAGATTAATATCGTTCCTTGTTTTCTTTCGGACACCTTCACTTAGAAGCTAATACAGTTTGTGTAAACAAGGCCGGCCACTTAATATCATTAAATGATTAGCAAGAAGCTATAGCCTATTTTTAATTAGTGAAGATAAATATCAGACTGGTGTTCCAGAATAAACGTATCATGACATAAAGAAAGCTTATTTTAGCTCTCCAAACAAAGAACAAATATTAATTTTGTTATCCATAATTAAGATGTTATAAATCTTCAATAAATCACCAGACTAGATTTCATCCTTTTTAAATATCTTAATCTTCAGGTTTGCCATTTTTTGGCCTAGTAGAGAGTGAAAAGGAATATAAAGCAAAGAATATTAAAACTGAATCTTGCATCAAATATCACCAGAACATCGATTATTATGTTACTCCCAATAACTTATAAATTTGTAAGACTGTATATTTTCAATATCAGTCTTATGAGGTAACCATTGATCCTCACAATAGTCAGTATCAAAAACGTTAATTCAATATAAGACTGATACCACTAAATATCTGTTTCATGACGTATTCACTACCTATTTTTCGTTTAAACGATATTAGTCTCATTAATTTTCTGTGTACGTTCTGTAACCAAGGTCATCAATTCATGATCAGTATCAAGGAAGAAAAATAATAGACTGATTCTGTTAAATATCAGGTTTTTGAGGTCAATCATGATGGCCTATTTTGATACTCCCGATTATAATTATCAAGTAACATTAGATACTATATGAATACTACTACTCTTAGTGAAGTAATTTTCGTCTATTTTAATACTCTCAGATAAGTATATAAACATGATCCCTGATCCTTAAACTTCATCGAGTTACTTCTGGTACAGAGACGAAGCTTAGCTATTAGGTGGAGACCAAAATCGACCTCGGTAGGTCATTACAGATTTAACAATAAGTAATCGACAATGCTATGTTTCATTTTTTGATAATGCAGCCTTTTTAGGTGTTAAGATCTTTTATGTCGTGTTAAATAATCCACCAAAACCCAGTAGTTTAGTCTATAACAGTTCTTTTTTCTTATGCACATTGAAACTACGAATACTCTAGATTTCTAACTAAAAGAAGACGGCGACTGAACTAAAATAATATCGTTTCCACACTTCATTTGTGTAACTCTAGCCGATGAAAGATAAAGCTACTGATTTCTGAAAGGTGTGACACTTAACTTGCAACTAAGAGTGAAAAATTCTGATGACTGGAGATCTGATCACAGATCGTAGTTCAATCTTGCAGCTGATTCTTATTTATTTTACAAACCTATGTTCGTGGACGGACGTATGGTATAAGGACTTTTTCTTTTATTTCATGCTAGCGTTTTTTTTTTTTTTTAAGATATATGTAGTTTGCTCAAGTTTCGAATATATTCCGATGATGAAAGGGAACACTCCATTTGAATTTTGAGAGAAAGAATGGTTGGTACTGAAGTTTGAAAAATCTTTTTCAATCAGATAGGGGCACTCGCTCCACAGAAATATGTCACTCTATTCATCAACCAAGTTTTGTTAGTATGCAGTAGAAACAGGCAGTTAGTTAAAGAACATTGACACAAAAATTGATAAAAACGCGCTTACCTTTCAGTTTTCCCAATTCGTGACTGATCTGTGCAAAAGTTGCAGTTCCTTTTAATGTAAAAATATTTTACATAATTCACTTTGAATTTTTCAATGATTATCTTTAAAAGAATGTTGCTGTTGGGGTTATTGTTATCCGGGCTTGGAGTAGCAATGAGCAGTCAATGCGAAAAGGATCGTGAGCACAACAATATTGAATTTGTGCATTAGAATGAATTATGAATAAAGAAATCAATTAGCCTGGGTTATGTTTGTTTGATATGTAATTCTTATCATCTTTTCCATCTCGATTTGTGCATGACTCTGAAAAAAAAAGAAGAAAAAAAGAAACAAAATATTGACATTTTGAGCGTTATTGTTACTCCGGTGAAAACCACTGAAAATGTTCTTATCTTGATGCACATGTAGACTTCAGATGTCGATGTGTTGTGGCTATTCAGTTAATGCTAATTTCCCTTAGTTTAAAATGTTATTACCTCCAGAATATTATTGGATGCCATGGACAATAATAGACTATCAGCCTTGATACTATTAGATCTATCAAAAGCTTTCGACAGTATAAGCCATTTTATATTATTACAGAAGTTGAGCCTTGTCGCCGCCGATAAAACCACGAAATGGTTTGAGAGTTACCTGTCTGATGGAACTCAAACGGTCCGCATTGGCACATCCGCATCTACACCCCTCCCTATCAACCCTCCCTATCACCCATGGCGTACCCCAGGGAGCAATGCTTATCCCTTTTCACTCCCTGTGGAGCATAGGTCCAAGGAAACCTCACGCCATCTCCTTCTATCCCGGGCCAACTTTTCTTCTTCATTTCAGGTGTAGCCTGCCTTGGCCGCCTCCTTGTCCACGGTTCTTCTCCAGCTGTTTCTATGACGGCCTTGTTTTCTCCTCCCCTGTGGGTTCCACCTCAGTGCATGCCTGGTAACACTGCTGTTTGGTTTTCTCAGGGTGTGCCCTATCCAACCACATTTGCGCCATCTAATCTGGTTGTCTATTCGTTTCTGTTCACTTCTTCCCTACAAATCTTCATTCCTTATGATCTCTGGCCAGTGTATGTCCATGTCGGACCGTACGCAAAGCCTTACGTAGCCCGACTCAGTCCACCACAAAGGCCTAATATTGCCAGCTTATAAATGGTCATTTCATTAGCAATTTGTGCATCCTTTCCAGCCTCGTACATAGTCCTGACATTCCAGGTACCGACCAATGTTGTTGTCTTGGGGGTAAGGAGGGGGGTCGGCCTCGTAGCTTCCTTTCGGTTTTTACCACGATTCGTCATACTAGTCTCCGAGGAGACGTTCTCCTGACCTTTGACGGATGTGATTTTGTGCCTGCTTCCTATGGTTTTTGTAATCAGTTTAATCCACTTAGTGAGTGATTAGCCCTCCAAGCTTCACCGGAGCCACGTTGGCTTGGCGCTTCGGGGTTCTCAGCAGGCCTTCATGGCTACCGAAGCGGCCGGGGGGAAACAAGCCCTCCACCATACTTCGCCCTACACAGCAACCCCCCACATACCTGTTTCCGGCTACCGCGGCAAAGACGAGGGGTTGGACTTTGGTAGCCCCAGGGAGCAATATTGTCACCATTATTGTTTTGTATTTACATCAGTGATCTTCCACTCGCTCCTCAAGTATGCAATCTTGAGTCCTACGTAGACGGCTCTAAGATCTTCTTATCTTTTCCAAACAAAAATGCCAAGTCTGCAAAACGCGATCTTCAGGAAGATTTAAGACGAGTGGCTGCTTGGTGTTGTAAAAATCAACTATTAATTAACCCTGAAAAGACCAAGTTCCTAATGGTCGGGACACAACAACTACTGCGCAGGCTTCCTAACGAAATCGCGATCTCTTTCTTGGGGAAAGGGATCACACCTGTATCCAACGCCAAGGATCTCGGAATAATTCTAGATAACAACTTAACCTATGACCAACACATTCATCAAATTACCTCATCGTGCATAGCCAAACTTTGTCAAATAAACTGGGTAAAGAACAGTTTTGATAGGGACACACTACGTACGATCATTTCCGCTCTAGTACTAAGCAATTTGTTCTATTGCTCTACCGTTTGGTCAAACACAACTGCCGCAAACATCAAGAAGCTTCAAGCCGTTCAGAATTTCGCGTGCAGAATCATTAGAAACACCAAGAAATTTAATCATATTACACCTGCATTACACGAAATCAAATGGCTACCAGTAAATGAGCATCTTCACCACCGAGACACTGTAATGACATTTAGGTGCATCAAGGGCCTGGTCCCCACATACTTATGTGAGTCTTTTCGAAAGCGCAAGTCTATTCATTATCATGACACTAGAAACAGAGAATCCCTTGATATTCCCCCAAGTAAGACAAAGTCCGACCAGCGACGTTTCCTCCACAGAGCAGTCAACATTTGGAACAATTTAGACAACGATTTTAAACCGTTATCTTTAACACTATTTAAAAAAAAGGTTGAAAATACTCATGCTAGAGAATTATTTTAATGACGGTTTTTTATAAATCATAATTTTATTCATTTATTATCATAATATATTTGTATTGTTTAGAAGTGAAAAGCCCTTAGGGGAATGCTAATAAAGTATGTATGTATGTATGTAGAATAATAATTCGTAAAGATCACAGATGATTCACTAAGTTTCTTTCCGTTTTGATATCTTACAGTGCCAGATGGTGAGTTTTTCAGCTATGGAGAGAGTTTTAAGGAAGGTAATTCTCCTTATTCAAGACTGTAATTTAATCTGGAGCTTTTAGAAATGTACCTTAGAAAATTGAATATCATAAGGCACTTCCAATCAGTTACGCTACTCTTCATTATCTTAAATCGCAGCGACAGGTAGAGTTAAAATTCCATTTATACAAAAATTTAAGAGTCTCTGGAACTTGCTCCTCCTGTTAAGGACATTCTTGATTAAAGCATTGATCTCTATTTCTCTGCAGTTCCTAGTCCATCAGATTGGTATAATAAATGGGAGCTATGTGGCGGTAACCGCCAATCTCCGATCGACATCGACACGACTCGGGTGACGAACAGACGGTTCCGAACTTTGAGAATAGAATTCGACAACCCTGAAGGCCTGGTTGAAGGGGAACTGAAAAACAATGGAAACTATCCCTCTTTTACTGTAGATAAGGACAAGGGAACAGCTAGACTTAAAGGGAGTCGGCTCACAGATATCTACCGATTGGTAGGGTTCCATGTGCATTTCGGATGTGAAAACGGCGAGGGATCTGAACACACACGTAATGGCAAAAGTTATCCTGGCGAGGTAATATGATGCGACATAGTTGTTTTCTCCAAAAGAGAACTTTTTTTTTTAAGTCAGAGAGCTCTTTGAGGCTTCAAGGTATTCTTGCCACACGACACACCAAAAAATCATCTCTTGATTTTTGGAAGGATCCAGAGGCCTTTTATTCAGTCCCTTTGTCATTTAGATCCTTACTAAAATCGCATACTTATTGGTTAAAAATGAAAGCAAATATTATTTTTTTCAACTTCTTCTTTCCTTCCAGGTTCATTTTCTATTTGAAGACAAAAATGGACAATACGCAGTGGTAGCCTTTTGGCTCAGGGTAAATATTGATAACATGTGATTCATATTTACCTTACTGTTTTGTTATTTGAATTTGTCTCGCGCGGACGTGTTTAGGAAATGTCAAACTGGAGGATGTTAAGGAAAAGGTGTCGGTCTAGTAAACTGCTTCAAACAACAGAAAACTGTTGAATGAATCGAATGTTATTTTAGGTTCAGTAGAGGCCAGCTGTAACATGACAAACTGTGCATTTAGGGCTTGACTTTTTTCGGTATCTTTAGGGTGTTTCGAAGGAAGGAGCAGTGCCCCGGTACAGGGGAATGTAAACTGTTAAATTTTAGTGAGCTGTTTGGCTGTAGAAAAGACAGCCTAGGGATAACTTTATTTTTCCAAGACCTTCCTCGTAAATATCAAAACGCTTTCTCTTTGAAATAGCGCCAATCCAGCTTCCATATCCACCCTTTTCATTCAAGAATCCTATTCCGAATCTTAAACAAGAGTCTTAGGAATATGTCTTTCTAAAACTGACTTCCATTGGATCAATATATTTCATAAAACTGAATACCTTTTCTCTTAGTATGGTGAGAAAACGGGAATTAATCATTTGTAACGTAATTTTAAAGTGATGCTCTGTTCATACTCTTGTTTTCTGTTACTGTTCAGGTATCTATAGCTACGAGAGGTAACAAGATTTTGAGAAGATTTGCAAATCAGCTGAACAAGATCATCGATGTTGGTACGTCAGTCATATTTCATTAACTAGCAAAAGGATAAGGTGATTAGATTCCAGCATGTCGGCAAGTTTTCCTCCTATATATTTACTTACCACTTAAACAGCATGTGAGAACTTTTCAAGATATGTTGACAGCTGACCAAGCTCTAAAATGATGCAATGTATACAAAGATTCATAGTTAGCTCTTTTGTGACTCCCATTGATTCCGTTTTTAAATGTCGTGATTTTGGTTTCAACCAAATGGCGATCCCTAATACTGTGGTCATACATTGGCTAATATTGAAAATACAATTGTGTTTACAGATGAGTCTACTACAGTTAAGAAGTCGGTCCGAATTAAACTGATATATCTTATACCCCACAAAATTAATGAACAAAAAGCCTTGATATTAGCAGACTATTACCACTACACTGGCTCCCTAACCACCCCTCCCTGCTGCGAAAACGTGTTGTGGTTTATCTTGAAACCAAGAGTTCGTATCACGGACTATCAGGTAAGTATCAAACAGTAGGGCGTATCGAGGAGTTTTTGATTAGGGGACAGGGGGCAGACCTTGATGACCTAAATAAGCTGGGAAATATATCAAGACAAGTATGCAAGCATTTTGTAGTCAGATAAATGGTAAAATACCCACAATGATATCCAGCCCTGTCCCTACATCCGCTACTGAATATCTCTCACCATCCACTTACAAGTAAACATTTGGATTGTGAGTTGTAGAGCCAAAGCAAAAATGTTAAAACAACGAATAAGAATAGATGAGAAGATGACCCGAGGCTACAGAATATCAACTGATATTCTCTTGAACTTAAACCAAAGCCATGGAAAAGAGCGGGAAAAGAGAATGGCAAAGTCGCAAATAGGAAATTGTTAGTTTTGCAACTGTTTGATTGAGATAGGGATAGACACAACTAATAATTGAAACGAAACCAATCTAATTGCTTGGTAATTTTGCTTTTATCAACTGAGTTGTTAATGTAAAGTAGCCACCGTAAAGAGTTTCAAAGCCGACGTTTCGAGCGTTAGCCCTCCGTCAGAGGGAATCTTATTTAATTTGATTAGTGATTCTTTTTGAAAATAATTTTAATACATGGGTCGAACGGCTCAAATATTTCGGCTTTAGGATGTAAAGCTCGCGACAATCTATTCGAACATTACATGAGTGAAACCAACTAACTTGATTTTTTACTTGAGAAAAAGGGTAGGAATTCTGGTAGAAGTAGTCCGGGCTAGTTTCTTGTTTATGAAAGATAATATATCAAAGCTGGCGGCTCACTTTATTTATTTCTTTCCTTTATAGTTGTCGCAGTTCAGGGTGTTGAAAGGTCGTTATCCCAAGGATCCCCCTGCCATGTGTGACAACTACAGACCACTTCAGCCGCGGAATGGCCGTACTGTTTATTCCGTTAAAAACGTAAAGTAAATAAATGAAAATGCAAAATTCATCATTTGGCTGATTGACAAAACAACCTAATAAAGTCATCAAGAGTTGAAAAAAGTGTATTTTGTTTTGAATGCATTTTGTTCTGCCTGTCTTGACTCCGCACTTAAAAAAGGTCAGAATTTCAAAATTTTTGTTTATTGTAAAGCCTACAGGAATTGAAGTGTTTTGTCTGTTTTGTCGTATTACATCGCATATATAGACTTCCTTTCTTGTATTTTGACATTTTTAAAAATCTTCGTAATCTACTAAAACTGATCCCATAACTGACCTTGGACTTCGTGAAATAACTTCTTAAGATACCTCAACTTTTTATAAAGACTGGGGGAACGAGTTCGTAATTTGGTAAAAAATTAACATCGCAATGCTACAGAGGTTCATGGGGCTAAATAACGACCAGTCTATTTATCAACTAGATTCATAACGGCTTCTAAAACGAATTAAAATCTCCAAAAAGTGACTGAACTCGCAAGAAGGGAATTTTATATCAAGGCTAGTTAGTAATCAGGGCAGGAAATCGTAAAATGGTGCTATAGAATAAACTAAATAAGGGGAGTACTTAGATCGCCAAACTTCTCCAGCAAATGAAAAACACTCGAACTTCAGAATCCTATCTTTTATGCTATTTCGTAAATAATCATCCCATGCAATAAGCTTATTGATTACAAAAAATCCCCTTTTTCGCTTATTGATTATTGAAACTGAAGTCGAATATATCATTTTCAAGGCTAAAAAATGGATTTCCAATCAAATCGTCGAGACGAAATTAATCTATTTAAAGAAAATTAAGAAAATTCGGTTAAGAACGTCAAACAAATTTCATTTATCACAAATTTTTGCAACAATGCATCTACTGCTTGAATGTCAAACACGATTTGTCAATTACAAAATGTTCAGATATGATTGGCTCTTAAAAGCCCTTATCATCCAACTACACTTCGTAGAGTACAAAAAACTTCCAAGACGAGTACAAATGTGACGCAGTATTTGTAATCCAGAGAACCGGTTAGACAGGTTTTCTCGCATCGCGCAAGCGACTTATTAGTTACAAAAAAAAATGGCAGGCAATTGAAATCATTTTCTGACGACGAAGAGTCGGAATGGCCGGCGAAGATTGATCCAAGTTTACTAAAGAAATCGAACGAACAAAGGCAGTTAGACGACAGTGACACTTCATCGTTTATTGAAGAAAATAGAAACATATATGAGCACGATCCTTCGCAGTAAAGCACTATTTGAGCAATAGTGAAAATCAGACCTGAAAAAAATTTCAGGCCTGTACGGGATTCGAACCACTGACCTCTGCGATACTAGTGCAGCGCTCTACCAATTGAGCTAACAAGCCAACTGGGAGCAGGCCATCAAATTAATTCGACATAAACCCGTAGATGATAAATCAAACAACAACAAACATATGAAACATATGTGTGAACTGCGGTTATGAGACGTATATGAGCACGATCCTTCGCAGTAAAGCACTATTTGAGCAATAGTGAAAATCAGACCTGAAAAAANGATCAACGAAGTAGACAACCCCTTCTAAAACACGAAACGGCTCTTCGCTGACTTCGCTCTTCGACATTGTGGGTCGTGAGAAATGAAGACAAGACGTCAGACAATGAATGATCTGAAGACCTGATCGTTGGTGTCAAAGGTCGCATCAGCTTTATTTTTGGATCAACGGGTCATGCGAAACCCTATTGTTTGGTCACGCAAGCTGAAGAAAACAGACACGGCGATCACCTGGAGAGTTCCTTTGTGGGGTCTTCGTAGCCGTTCACGGAAAAAGGTCGTTTTCGTGTTTGTTATCACGGGTATCGGAAAATTATTTCTCTGTTTCACGTATCACGACAATCATATCATTCACGGTTCACGAATTTTAAAACTTTTAGATTACGGATCACAGAAAATAAATTAGTCCGATCACGTTTCACGTGAAACCCCCTTACGGCCCCTCGTTACTTCTGTCACGCACTCTCCGTAAATAAATATTCGCGAAATTCGCCCGCAGTGAAATAACAATTTGGTTGTTAGAGAATTAATAACTTATTAGAAGTTTTGTTGTGTAGTATCGCTGAATATTTTTATTCGTTATTTGTATTTTAACTCGCATTACGGGCTCGTAAAAATACGGCATAACTCGTAAAAATAGTCAGCGGTACTACACCACAAAACGTCGAATAAGACATATTTATTTGTGGCTTATTTCGCCAAATTGGACAGTTTTAATGAACAACATTGATTAAGCGCTCTAAGCCATCAGCCAAGGAAATTCGACTACTACCCTAAGCTAGCCAGTCAAAATCAAGAAAAACTTCTTGAATTAGCAAGGTATCTGATCCAGATAACGATTGGAAACTAACAAGAAATAAAATGAAGTGAGCTCTTGCATTAAATGTTTCAATCCTGAAATTCTCGCACTTCGTTATTCAGACATAACTAATTGGTAATCGGACTTTGTGTAGTACAATTTAGGTGCAATCGTGCTTCCAATTTCAAATAAGCCTCTCGTTATACGAGTACGGCCAATTTGAAATCACTTGTTCGATTAATGAACACCTTTGTAAATAGGTTGATATTTAAGCTCCATTTATTGTAATGACATACTTTTTAATTCATAATATGTATGTAGATTTCTGTAGTTTTTCCAAATTCATTGTAACATAAGATATGTAGTTTTATCTTATGATGGAATAAAGACTTTTTTTATTAATACCTGAGTTGTACTCCGCTCAGTTCTATAACCATTCTAAAGTACCAAGCTACTAAATAGCAAGAGTTTTGATCAAGCATGCATAGTTGCTAATGGTGAAGACCGAATTCTCAAATATTGTTAAAATCGTATGATGCACGATCCTCGCAGCAGAGAACGCTATTTGTGCAATAGCGAAAATCAGACCTGAAAAAAATTCGTAATAAACCCATTGTTAGCTCAATTGGTAGAGCGCTGCACTAGTATCGCAGAGGTCAGTGGTTCGAATCCCGTAAAGGCCTGATTTTTTTCAGGTCTGATTTTCGCTCTTGCATAGATAGCGTTCTCTACTGCGAGGATCGTGCGCCATACGTATCTACTATCGCAGTTCAAAATATATGAACTTCATATATTCATTGTAATTGTTAAACTCCTCGCACAATACAAAATTATTCCCTGGTTAAAAAAATTGGAATATTTCACAATTATATACATGTGGCACCGATTTTTACACATTTTTCTTAAATAATAAACTCGCACTTGCGCCTTCAATTTATCTGATTTTTTAAGTAAGACCAGGAGAAGTTTAAAAAACAGCTTTTGGCTATTTAGTCCCGGCTTGAGACGACAGAATACACCTTGCGTTTGTACAGCGGTTGTACCGGCCTCATGTTATCACACATTAAACCAGGAGCACCACCGTACTGAGCCTTTAGTTTCCTGAACTTGTTGAGCTGAAAAAGAGAGAGAAAAGGATTTCATATTAACGTTTGTCTAACACGGAAAGGGCAGAATAACTTCCTACAGCCTACATCTTTGACGGCCTTGACTATAAACCTAAAATAAGGTGGCTAAGTATGGAGTATTTGGTCTAAAACGATAAGAAAAACTCAGAGAAACTCGGGGCTGACTTATAGAAATTAAAATATAAAAGCTCTTCGAAACCAATTGCAATTAACTGCGAATTAAATGCGCGATGAAGTGGATCAATCGAATCAGTTCTTTGTTTTTATTCCGCCGTGCTAGAACGTATCAATGGTCTCCGGAACATGTTTATTCTAAATTAAACAATCGTCATAGAAATGAAAACCAAATGCAGTTGTGGCAGATTTCAGAGGACAAAAGAATCAGTGTCAACTAAACACTCAAAGTCAACTATCCCACTGTTATCGGTTAAGGACGTTAGTGCCTTTAACTTTTCCCTTTCACACCACCCACAACTAACCTGAGTGTTCGAAATCTTGACTTTGTCCTTGAAAACGATCCAAGTGACAGATTCATAGCAGGGAGGAGTGGTAAGGGAACCTTTGTAAGTGTAGTAACGTATTTTCTTTTTTTCGTCTTCATCGTCATCTTCGCTGTTAGCAGCGGCGTCATCATCATCGGTTTCGTCTTCATCTTCCTCCTCGTTGACTTGTTTGTTATTGTAGGGCATGAGGTAGTTTAGACGAATGCCGTCGGCGGTGGTCACATTAGTCCTGGCGCCTGAATATATTAAGATGATTAAGATGCGTTGATGGAATACTGGGAACTAGGGCGATGGGAATCTGATTCACCTGTTTATCACGTCGGACGAAGTGATTCATTGGTTAATTGTTGTAATTTCTGTGTTGGAAATGCTGGAATAATTGAACATATAGGGAGACTTCAATAAAAGACAAAGGAAATCAGTTTCAAACGGGCCTTATTTCAGAGTCTGTTCGTAAACTTCAACTTTATAGCATTTGACTGATAAAATGGTTTCCTAGAGTAGAGTTCGCTATTTACCTTCGTCAATCACTTTTTTCAGTTTATTAGAAAATTTTCCTAGAACCCTGTTTCCTGGGCACGTCGCCTGCAAACAAATGCACGAAGAAACACTGTTAAGCTTTCCGGTGAGTTGATACAATATCTGGGTTACGTTTTCAACAGGCAGTAGTCCAAATTATTAGTATATATCAAATAAAAGAGTTATCCTCCTAAGTGAGCTGTAATTTAGACAGTTGCAGAAAAGAAGCCAGAAAAAATTCAGGATACATATACAGATTGCTCGCTACTGCCAACTGGACAACGAAACCACACGTTGGGAGCGGGGCACATTTTAGAAGGTTCTTCTTTCTCGTAGACGATTCAGATCATTATAAGTACTATTTTTTTTCAGTATGTAGTTGGAAAATCTTCTGTATTCATACATACCGTGAGAAGGACTCCGAGAACTGCTAAGCCGTCCGGTTTATCCACTGCGTCCTTGAAGGAGTTGTACTTTTTGTTATAGAAAACCAAATGAAGCTGAAGGGAAACAAAAAAAGAACCATTAATTAGAAAAGGTAGTTAAAACGGGATAAGATGAAATAAAAGTCGTGAATCTAAACAAGTACAAACTATTTTTGAAATGTTCACGATTTTTCGAAAATGATTGCTCTTGAGGAGTGTGCATTAATCTCTTGTTACTGTGGAAAGGCATGGTAAGTTAAATTTTGTATATCTTGCTGTTTCACACGATGCAGAAAACCTAAACAATTCAGGAATGTTTTGACTACCAGGAAAATCTCAGGATCGGTAATTCGGTGATTCATAGCGACATTTACTTTATTTTTCTCTTGATTGTAAAAACTATTACATACCTGAGCTGGGAAAGTCTTGTTGTCAATCAAGTGCTCCGATCCTCGACTGTTTTCGCATCCAAAATGAAAATGGAATTGTTGAAGGGCGTACTCGTCACACTCCAAGGGACCGCCACTGAGTTTAGCGCTCCCCTTTGAGCAGTCGATGTTGAAGGTAGGAGAATGGCCGCCATTAACAAGCTCCCCGGTCACCAGTCCACAGGGGTTGTCAAAACTGATCTTGAGATCAGGATAGCTTTTCTTCTTCACTTTCTTTGTCTCGATGTTGACAGGAGACTGAAGTTTTCCGCCGCATTGTGGGAAGATTTGGGGCCAGTTTGCTGGGCCTGGAGCTAATGGAAAGAACCAGTATTCATCAGCGGTATTCAAAATATACAAATAAGCTGGGGAAAGAAAATATTCCTTTTCTCCACATTTTTTTTATAACAAGCTCTGTGGCCTTTTTAAGAAAGCCTAGTTTTACAGTTGTTTAAATGAGTAACAACGCAATTTTTTAGAGAGACTGCTCATTGTCCATGCAAAAAGAAATTCATGGAGTTGATTTAATCTTACCTTTTTGATCAGACAGGTAGGCATAATCTAAATAAGAAGTGAAAAGAACTTGATTAGTAGCTACTCCTTTATATATTCATTACGAAACTTCATATCTCTGAGCAACTTAAAATCATTGTGGACATTGATTTCACTATCACTTATTAATATTGACCATCGGTTTCTATTGCCAATCATTTATGCATAGATATATAGTTTTCGTTACAACAAACAAAATAGCAAGGGTATTTGTAGTTTTTCATGAAAACACGAGCAACAAGTGTTCTTTCTTTGACTTTCTTGATTGTCTTCAATCGCTGCATCTTTTAAACATTTGAATCACATAAATCTGGCTGACAGAACATACATTTTTTTGCACTACAGTTTACATCTTGTCCAAGGAAATACAATACATATTAGAAATTTTCAATCGAATTTGGGAGAAAACTCACCTTGACACACAACGGCGCCAATCATAGAAATTAGCCACAAAAGATACATCACTATAACTGGTCTGAAAATAGATATGACCTGATTAGACTTGTCAGCTTATGAGAAACAAGCTACACGAGATTTTACTAATTTTGAATAATAATTTATTTCTTATACAGTGCTATTTACAATGACAGATCAACAGCGCTTTACAATTAATGTACTAACCCACCCATCCTACCACAGGGGAGGACATCTATCGCACAGTAATCTCGTGCATGGGAAATTAACGTCTCCTACCCCTAACCCTGCAGGAGACGGGACCTCCATTTATTCGTCCCTTTCNTTAAAAGCTTTTGAGCAGACTGTCACCACAAAACAGTCATGAATTAGAAACGCCAATTCATTTTGAAAACTGCATAATTTTGTCCTTGTGGCTAGTCGTCTTCAAATCATGTTGCATCGTCTGTAAGTTAAAATAACATCTGAAAAGGCGCCAAATCACATCCCTTCATTATTCTAAGCACCCTTTCAGTGTCTATCTGGACAAGTATAAGGGGGGGAGGGAGGATCAACCCGCTCGAGACCTGAAATATGCAATTGTTGCATACATAACTTTATTACCGTTCGAATTTCAGAGTAGCACGGTGGTGAAAGTTTCTCCAAACAAAATAGCTAAATAAATAAATAAATGAGTAAGTAAGTCCATTATTAAACTACACTAGATGAAACTAATTAAAAATATGTTGAATGAGATAAAGAGAAATGTCGAGTTACTTAAGAACAAAAGTGATCAACAATATTTCCAGCAAGTATCGCGGAAGTCTAAGAAATAAGTTTCATCTTCAAAATCTTTAAATTCAATGAGAGCTCGCTCAAATTCGTCTAAATTGTTCCATCTTATCGCAGCAGAATATGACAGGTAAAATATATTTAACAATTATTCGCCGAAGGTGAGGTGAATATCGTCAAATAATCCGCGAGACGAAGTCGAGGGGATTATTCGACGATATTCACCTCGCCTTCGGCGAATAATTGTTAATTATCGTGTACGTAAAACTAATGACAGGAACTGTTGGAAAATTAAGCCGAAGGAGACCATCACGTATAACCGACGGGGAAAATGCCGATGGCTGTATACTGATAACATTGCAAGTTTTCCCTGACTTATTCTCGTTCCGAGAACCTAATCTGTTAGTTAAACACTCAGAGAAAAATTTGACTGTTGGCAGATTTAAAGAACTATGCTAGTCTCGAGCTCAATTTAGTTATAAACATGACCTATCTTGATTAAAACTATTCAAAATTTTGATGGAGTTACATCGACCGAGTAAGGTGTATCAAATAGCAACTACTACATTTTTCTCCATCTCGTTATATGGCTTTCTTCCAATAGTGTGCAGTTGAATGATCTAAAACGTGATGTTAAGCCAATAAAGTTTGGCTGCATTTTTACGCTAAAACTAAGACAAAAAAAAAAAACCTACCTAAAATTTATGGACACAGACAAAATAAATAAAATAAGAAAATGCTAATTTAACCATAAAACCATAAATTTCATAACGGAAAAAGAAATTGCTGTAACACGAAAGGCTCAAGATATGAAATTATCTGACTTGACTTGAAATAAAAACTGAAATTTCTCCACTTACTTGAGATTCTTCGCTTCTGGAAAGACTTCTCCAATTTCGGATCTGTTTTCTCTGGCTAGTGTCTATGAATGTGCTTTTTGATTTGGATGCAGCTAAATTTATGGAGTCGAAATTGATCAGTATCATCTGCAAAATATCCATAACATCATATTAATTCTTGTCAAGATAGTATTGTTTCAAGGGCCCTCACTTGTAGACATAATTCCCCCCCTGTGTTTCTCAGCGCACTGTTGCTAAAGACAGAAATAGATATAAATATTTACATCAATTAATCAAGGAAACTTCCTTCGTTTATATAATATAGCATTTAAGAATTTCTGAAATTAAACTCGCACGCAACAGAACAGTAAAAAGTTAAACATGATCACATACCTTTTGATGTCTGAACTATACTGCGAAAAGACGTTACACTATTTTTTTCAGGAAGAGAATTTCACTGTAACATACTTTCAACAAAGGAAGCTTCTGATTGGACAAGCACGCAATTTTACCTTCTTTGCACCTACTTATTATTCATATTATTATATTCATAGTTGATCTGTTTACCCTCGACATGCGTCTGCCGCACGTGATCAGGGTTCATATGGTTTTTCAAGCTATTCAAATTCAGCACGTGCATCGATCTCACTACTTTGTATGAGTTGGTAAATTCTTAGAATAAAAATTTAAATGGTTCCGAAAAAATGGCCAGTCTAGCTCAATAAGCTCTTACAATGAGCGGACTGGTAAACTGGTAATGTTCACATGATCAATAAATATAGTTTTCGGCCGCGGAAACATTGAATAAATATTTCTATATTTAAACAGGTTGCGGTACTTGAAAAATATTTTCACCTCTGAACGTTAGCTGAATATTATTCCACTACGAGCCCTATGATGTTCTCTTGTTTTGATGAAATACAGTTTCCTTAAGTTAAATTTTGCTTGTTTTAGTCATTTCGACTGAGCAATTTGATAGTTATGCAAAAGCCATTTTTACTTCGTAAGTTTACAGGGGTGAAGTATATTGATAAAGTTGATGTTCTTGTTACAGGTTAGAAACATAGAAACACAACAACATCTAATCAATTCAATATGGACATTTTCCAATTAAGGTGAACTTTACGCGGTTTTGGATTTCTTTTGTAGAGTTGTATAAAGTCCTCATCGACTTTCACTATGGCCAATGTCTTTCTCACACTAAGGTGTAGCGTTCGGGGAGGAGAGCCAATGTGTCTAATTCCATTTTCAGTTGCATTTTAAGATGACAAACACAGCCAGTTTTGAATATCAATACAAACATTAACGTCTCAAGAACAAATCTTACTTCCTTAGATACATGAAGTGCCTCCAGGTAATAAAATACAGGATAAAATGGTCAGGAACCCATAGACAGTCAATAATATCCAAAAGGCATCCGTTTGCGTCAACGAAATCTTCACTTTTAACAATCAGGAAATTAACTCTCAGCTGAAAGAAGCAGTTTGGTTCAAGTTTGATTGAGGGCTCTGTCACGGTTAATAAACCCTAAAAATTTAGCTTCTTGTTCATTGTTTACGTTGCTGTTCCTCGCCATCTTCTGCTACCCTCATTCCTTTTTGTCTATCATTTTCAGTTTTCAGTAAAGTCGCCTTTACGACAAAGAATATTTTGACAGAAGATTGCCTCAAAATACCGCTTTTTAGCGCCTCTAACGGCTGACTCAAACTACATAATTTAGAGTCAATATCCGATATAACTGATTACCGGAGATGGCAATCTATTCGATACGTTGTATTACCGTCCATCTATGTCTTATTTTAGATATTGTTTAGTCTGATCCCTGAAGCGCTCTAATTGCTGCTTACGTCTTTCCAAAAAGGAAACTTTCTTATTTTAGAAGATAAATTCTACAGCCTTCTGTCGACTTCCCTAAACATGTTTGTATGTTTCCGTAACAACAAAACAAACAAAAACTTTATTCTTGCTCTGATTGTGTCTTTAAGTCTCCGGAAAAAAAGGCCAAATCCCCAATTTCATTGCAGTTAATTGTCATATTATCTGTCCTTAACATAAGCTTTTCAGTGGCTTGGGCTTAACAGTCTTTTCATTAACACTAGTATCTTTTTCATTATCGTTGTAGAAATTTCACTTGAAACTTTGGGAGTAAACATGGAAATGTGTAATATGCCTTATCAAGGTTTGGATGAAACGAGTGAAATTATACTCAAATGCTAATTTGTTCAACTGAATTTCTCTTAGAAGACAGTTCCACCCACTGTACATGTGTTTTACCACCGCTAGCTAGAGTCATAACATTGTAGTCTATAACCCTGTCGACGGAAGACAAGTGGATGTACACAACGACATTAGACGGTCACTATTTGAATTAAGGGACCGCTGTTCCAATAAAAACACTGAACTCAGTGCATTGATCTGTATTAAAGCGCTAATTATAAAACACATACCACCTGACATTTGGAGACGGGAAAACTGCAGACGGCGTTTTATGATTACTAGAACAGAGAAGAATCGTACAGTATGACTGCCATTTGAAGCATTTGCATCAAGGAATGGGTGTCCCAAAAATTGTTATCATCATCTTTATTTGCCTTATTTTAACAATACAAAGATTTATTTACAGCTAGAAGGCGGGGAGACCCAGGAAGCCACCGGGCTTATGGGAGAGCCACCTCACTTACAATAATAAATCAAGTAAAGAAAAAGTGCTACGAACTTGCGGTTTGGCCAATTCAGTGTTTATTTAAGGAAAAAATCTTGCATTTTTGTCTTAAAGCTAAGAAAGTTTGACGAACGTGTGACTGACATAGGAAGAGAGTTACAAATTTTAGGACCTGAGTAGAGAATTGTAAATTGCTTGAGATTTGCACGGCACAAGTGCGTTGGATAATTACTGGCTGTTCTGGTACCATAGTTGTGAATTAATAACTGTGTAAGAGAGGAACTTTATGATATTTGAGAGAACTTTATTCATTCAAGCAAAAATACCAGGCTTAGATATATATATATATATTTTGATAAATTATATTCTACAATGTTGCGTTCAAAAGGCATTTTGTAGTTTGGGCCTTTTTGCTGTCGGTATCTATAAACAAAACAAAGTAAAAGAAAAGTAGCAAAGATACACTTTCTTCGATACTTTTTTTTTTCGTGATCATGAAACACTATATTCAATATAGTAGCTTAGCCACACGAGGATCTTAAACACTTCATTGATAACATTTTGCCGAAGTTGTTCTTATTTTAGCACGAGCTATTCGTTAAATTATATCGTCAGGTACTAAACATTTTAAAGAAAAAAAAAAAACAAGCTTTTCAGGCCTAAAATAGCGTTGTGTTGACGTAAGTTTACGAACCATTATCACGCGTAAGCTCTCCTTTACTTTGTGATTGGTCCAAACTCGGGCCATGCCCGCAGCCAATCATATTCAAATCAGCTATGCCATGTTCTAAGATTATTTCAGTTGCAATTGTGTCTTAGTTGTTTGGCGCCTGAAATAATTAGAGCCAAAGAGCTATGTTTAGCGTGTTTTGATTACTATTATTTATAAAAGTTAACAACTTA